GTTGCGCCGCAAAAAAAAAAAACCGTTGCGCCGCGACAAAAACGCATTTGTTATCGTACGTACGTTCGGTCCGGTTTATCGTCGCGGGAATCAAATGCGTATAGACCGCGACGCGTACGGTACGTAAAAAAAAAAAAAAACGATATTGTGATATTTTCACGTTGCGGAAGTCCCGGGGCAGCGGCGACGGGGCCATGTGCTGCGTCATCCTCGTAACAAACGCCGCCGCGTACCTGTACAAATATAATATACGTGTGTGCGTGTGCGTGTGCGTGTGCGAGCGCGCGGTATAATACGAGTACGTTAAAAGCCGGATCGCGGGGACCTTTTGAAAATCGTGAGAATATTAGGGTGGTAACGGCGCTTCCGGGCGTTCGAACGGTCCGCCGGCGGTCCGGACTGCAACTGTCCCCGACCAGTTTTCGGGGCGCGCGTGCGTGCGCGTTATTATTTACGACGACCCCGCGAGTGGACAATGGGCCGCGAAACCGGTTGTCCGCGGCCGGCATTGTGCAACCCTTTGCCGCTTGACCGGTGCGCGCGTCTTCCCAGCAAAAACCGGTTGCGCGCACCGGCCGTATAGGGATGAGCACGTTTGTGTTGTCCCCCACGCCGCCGCCGCCGCCGCTGCCGCCGCCGTCGCCGCGCGCCCGCGGTCTTCGGTACCCGGCCGATCGTTCGGCACAAGGCGATGGGAACCGCGCCGAGAAACGTCGTCCCGTCCGGGCCGCAGTCTTCGCCGTACGCGCCAGCAGCGTCGCCGCCGGTCCGAGTATCGAGTCGTCCGTGCGTCCGTCCGGGTAAGTAGCGAAACCGCCGTCGGGTTACACCGCGGCATGTATGTAACGAAACAGACGGGTACGTTTTAGCGCGGCAGGGGAGGAGAAACGAGGGGAGCGGGTAACACTGTCGGCCGCAGAAGTCCTACACAGTCTAATTATCGCTAGGTACGAGTTTGGCGTAATTTGATCGAGTTTATGACGCACTATCGGGATGGTGGTGGGAGGGGGTCGATATTCCGTGGGTTTTCGCGTTTTCTAGTTTTCCATACCGAAGATAACCGAAAAAGTCTCTTGTTTTTTTTTCAATCCGAGTAAAGCGTGTTTTTTTTTTTTTTACTTCTAAACGTAACGATTTTTTTTTTTTTATTTCATAAGTAAAACGATCGGATTAAATATTAAATGTTAAACTTTGAAATTTAGTAACCGCAACGCAATAATGTCACGTAAATCCGATGCTCGGCTGGTTCTTTCCCGGTACCAGTCGACTTAATTCGTCGTGTTAAACGGGTACAGTCTTTTCATTTTTTACAATCCGTCGAATTATCGAACGGGAAATAAATGTTTGAAAATAAAAACGCGAAACGGAATAGTATTGATTCATTTGTGAGAGCGAACCGTGCAGATATGTTCACCGGGAGAGGACGTAATAATAAATTCAACATAACCACGAATCGGTACAGGATGATCTTCTTCTACAATATAACATACGCAAGCTGACCGTAACTCGGGATTTCAAACGCCGGATCCGATAAAAAGTCCGTCGCCGTTCGGTGTATTTATATTTTCCCCGTACGATTCGACCCGAACGCGCGGAACTGTATACAACCCGTTTCGAGGTAAAAAAAAAAAAAACATCTTTATATTCGGTAGCGGTTATATTTTTAAGCCGACGGAGGGATTTATGAGGCGAATGCTTTTCGATTTTATTATAAGATTTCCGGACGGGAGGGGGGGGGGGTCGCACTCGAAGCGAAAATAATTGTTTAAAGTATACCTACCGGTTTATTGCCGATTCGGCTAAAATAAACCGGCACGACAGGGATTTTTCGGGAATTGTCGGGCGGGCGTGTTTATCGGTATAATATATTACGGGTCGGCGCCGGATTAGGATTTTCGGTTCGTATCGCCACCGGACGTTGACTTTTAGCGCCACTGACGAGACGATATTTCGATATTAAAGCGTATACAATATTACAACGCGGAACATAAATCGTCATCGCGCGCGGTATCCGTGTGTGTGGTTTTTTCTTTTTTTTTTTTTAAATTTTAATTCGGCCGGACAAAGTATCGCCGGTATAAAATATACTAACAAAACGAGACACTGGCACTTGTGTGCGCTCCGCAACACGGAAAACAATCGCAGGTGAGTGTTTATTAACGCCGCGAGTACCGTGTACGTGTGTTCAGGTTGTATTGTTTTCCATTAATGACCTGTGATTCTAGAGGGTCTTCTATTGTTTCCGGATGTATACCGTTTCCGAACCGACCCTCTATTTTCTCTTATATATATATATATAATTGTACGTAATAATATGTTAATGAGCGAACATTTTAATATTATAGGTAGTGCATCTATACAACATTTGCAGTTTATTTGTGTTTTGTTTTGTTTTTTTTCGTTAATTCATCAAGCACGTATGACGAGTGTTGTATAAGTAGGGCTCGGGAGTAAGAGCTCATTAAAAAAAAAAAAATCAATTTTTATGCACTTGAAATCGCCGAAATAAGCCCTTTAAATCGCGTTAAAAATTTGTAAACGAGGTGAAATAGAATCCTTTTCGAGATCGGCGTTAATATAAAAATCGAAACGCACACGTCTTTTTCGCCGTTTACGACGTCAGCGAAACGCGCGAAACGATATTTGATTCTCGACCGGGGAGGCGTTGCCAAAAACGACAATACGCGAACGACAATTTTATTACTTCCGAGCCCCGATTTTGCGGGTATACGCGACCGATACGTTTTTGGTTTTATTTCTCGTTCTATACGGTACCGGCGCGGTTTACCCGATTCAGTGGCGACGCAGAAGATTTATCGATTACGTTTGAAATTTAGTGGCAAACGGGCGGGCGCTCGACATTAAAACTATATGGAAAACAGCCGTTAAAAAATAATAATCGCCGAGTAAAAAACGGGGGACGAAAACGTCGCGGTGTATCTTGAAAATCGAGAAATATCGGGTACCCGGTAGATTATTGTACTACGGGTTGCTCCTGTTCGTGCTCGTCGACATCCGATTTCGCCGATTCCTATTTAGCCGATTACATTTTCTTTTGCTAATATTTGCCTGTGGCGTACGTTGCTTGAAGTACAACTACTCATGAATCCATCCCACTATAGCTCATGTCAAAATAACTCGTTTTCGTTGTCGGTTTTGATGAGATTCCGCTAGTTCCTTTAAATTGTCGCTGTACTAAACTTAAATTATGAAAACTTTAAGAAAAATTCATTTGAAAATCCATCTAATCGTCGATTACGTATTGTTATTGTCAATAGGTTTTTTATTGTCGATAATTTCAACTAAATTTGTATATTTATCTTAGCTCGTGTCGTGATTGCAGCGTTTGAATTACTTTAGTAATGATAATTTTATTGCAACAAAACTATTTCAATTCAAAATGATAATATTATTTTGACACCGGTTTATTTGTCGGCAAAATAGGAGGGAGGGTAGGTAAATTGGGTCCGCGAAAGTGTGTGTACGTTTTGAAAGCCGTGAATTGAGTCCCGGGTATAAAAAGGTGGTAGGTAAGTTGTGTCCCGGCTTTAAACCCAGTAACTACATAATCTACCGGGAGCATATAGCGGTACACCGCCCGGACACCAATGAATTTTACGCACAATAAACAGACATCACGAACAAATAGTTACCCGGAACCAAACTTATAACTACTACCTTTTTTTTTTCCCCGGTACCCAATTGACTGAAATAAGGTAATTTGAGGCCCAATTTACCAATCCCGAAAATGGGAGAAATGGTAAGACGCGGTTTCGGCACCAGTGCGTCTCGTTTTCGGCACGCGCGGCAATCGATTTTTTTTAATATGGCCAACCGATTATCCCGATAAATATAATGGTGGACGACGCGCGGTTTTTTTTCCACCCTTCATCCGGTGTACGCCGTGCGCGAGGGTGGAACGTGCAGTTCGATTCGGCGGGTGCCATTCGTACACCAATCAAAATGGCGTAGGTGTTCGGTGTACATTAGTAATTTTTTTTTTCTATTCTACAAACGGACATTGACAGTGAAACTAAAAAAAAAAAAAATTAAAAAAAGATACGGACATACTTCGCACCATGGGTGGGCCACTGTTGGTGGTGAGCAGTTGGGAAGATAGAGGGAAAATTATTTAATGCGTATATCTGTATACGCAACGATTAACTATTGCTAACGAAAAACGATTCTGAGCTTTACCAACAATATGTATTATGTCAGATTATGGTGAATAATTACATACGAATTACATATATTATTTTCTTTAACAATATTTGTTTAATATTTTACCTGTTTTCCCGGTTTCCTACGTTTTTAGCCTAACCTAATCTCACTTCGCTCAGAATCTAAAAGACGATACTGAAATAGAAATGTTCGAAAAACGATTTCTCCGTGACGGCACACTTATACGATATATTGATAAACTATATTACTGACGACCGTACGGCGAACCGACGAGTGGTTAAATCCTAGTGGAAAAATATTAATGAAAAATTTTAATGGATTGCCAGTCGGATATTCTTGGAGGATTGTTAGGATCGATTTTGAACGGTTTGGCACGAGGAAAACAACCGCAGTGTAAGACGAAAACCTGATTGTATGATTGTATGTAGATAAGATCGTTAATCGACAATTCGTAACGAAAATAATCGAAAAGAAGGGCCGGCCGCAGAAAAAACACGGAATTGCCGAAAATCCGGAATCATTTGGTTGAAAACCATATCAAGACTGAATGTGTCGTGAGTCGTTAATGTTAAATGTTTCGACGGGGAATTCGAATAATTATTTAAACGCGGGATATAAAGACGTAAATCGTTTTCTAAAGCGGAAAAAAAAGTCAATTTCCATCGCGACTAAATTACAACGGGCGTGCTGTGGTAACGTACGAATGGATTCCGACGAACCGTCATTTTAATAATAAAAACATAATTACTAATCGACAACAATTTCCGTTCCGTTTTACACGGATTTAGCGTCATGTAGAAAACCTTCTAGAAATCCGTACTCGAGGCGACTGACAAAAAGAAAACGGTATTTAGACCGCGAAATGTTAGAGAAAACTGTAGGGCGTACGCGTATTTGACAGATTTTAATTTCGGCAACGGATTTTGATCGATCCACGAGTTCACTATCGTTGGTTTTGACGATGCGGAACGATCGAAATTTTTCCGTTACAAATAAAACGCGATTAAACTAATTGTTCTTTTTTGATCAGCTTTTACAGCGCGTGAACGATTTTTGATACTCCTAGCATAACTCTCCGTCCATCACTGTTTTATCGGAGTTTAGGAAAACAAGCGAGTAAAAAAAAATATATATTTGTTTTTCATATTATAATATAAAAAGTAATATTTAGTAATGTCACTACATATTATATGTAATACTAACTAATAATTTCTTTTTATATTATAATATGTAAAATAAATATATTGCTTTATTTCCATTCACTTTGGCAAGATCCGACTTCACCGCTCTCACCGGTTTAACCCGTTCGTTTTTCTTCTACTTCCTTCGCTGCAACAACCGATTTCCCCCACCCATCCTTATCCCGAGCCAGTTCATCCCGACCTCGGTCTGCCTTTGGCGGTCTTGTCTTCCCTCGTTGTCCGGGTCATCCTCTCTCCTTTTCGTATCCGGTTTCTACTGCTCTTAAGTGCTCCGATTATGTTCGTCTCGCCGTATAGCTCTTTTATTTATCGGTTCGTTATTAATTCGAAATTCTCCTCCCCCCCCCCAGGAGCGTTTCTTTTCGGCCCGAATTTCCTTCCTGGGACCGGTTGGACCGTTTACGTTTATTCGAATC